TTCTGTCATCAAAATCAGTACAAAGGCATTGTACTGATCTTGTTCCAGGTGAGGCATTCCCCAGCCTCGCCCCCAGCGCGTCAACCCCGCCGGACGAAGCACTGCCCCCCGTCGGATGAAGCACCGCCCCCAACCCATCCCCAAGCTAGTGGAAGGGAGGAGCCTCCCTATCCCTCACTTGCTCCTCACTGCTGAGGCGCTCCGTCCATGGCAGGTTACACAGTGGGGAGGATTTCCCTTCTGTGCAACCTGATGCCGATCTGAATGAAGAAAAAGCTGTCAGCTTCAGACATCTTCCTACATAATTCTAGGTGTGTCCTCCCGTTACCCTAAGGAGAACTATGGGGAAAAACACTGACCCCATAGTTCTCCTTTAATTATATTCATCATCTCTGTAAGGATGAAGTGAATCCGTGGCTCAGAGAATTAATATTCATCGTATTTTCTGACTTCCTCATTTTGCCTCCGGCGAGTTAATGAAAACTTGAAGCCATGTAATATTTAGGTTGGAAGCACCTTGCAGCAGGTGACATAATAGTCCTCGCTTCTTTCTGTCAAAGCTGTCATCCGTGGCACCGTTAATTAACATTATTCTAAAATAAAATTACGCTTCTAAAAATGGACACCCCTTAGGCTGCACCAGACTTTTTTTTCCCGTATATTTATCCGAATCCCATTCATTTAGTCTCTGCCAGAGGATTATTAGAATGGGAATAGATTGCGTTACACACACCCGGCTCGTTCCATGCTGTTTTCAAAAAGCGCCAAAGCTGCCATATTGTAATGTGTCTCTAGTTACTTTAATGCAGCTATAATGAGGCATAAGGGCCCGTTCACACTTGTGCATTGTGGTGACGCTCTGTGTGTTGATGCGCCTTATCACAGTGCACCTGCTCTATGTGCGGTAAATAGAATCCCATTATTAAAAAAGGGACATGTACGTTTTTGTCATCTATTGTGGTGCTTTGGCAGGCTTTAGGTCAGTGATTTTGATTTTTTGGGGGGACCAGAGGATGAGCATGACAGCAGGAAATCTATTAGGACCAAAGGATTAGCATGAACTTGCATGTTAACTAGACTGGGCTTGTTATGGCATTGGGTCTTTAAAGCTGAACTCCAGATGAATGCAGCTCTGTATTCAGTACATCGATAAAGAGAACTATGGGGTAACCTTTTTATCCCATAGTTCTCTTTAGGGTCACAGGAGGACATATACTAACCTCCTCCCGTGACCCAAAGCTCAGTATATAGCAGGCTATTGCCCACTATATACTGAGAGTGCCGCAGCTGGGACAGATCCCGACAATACTGTCAAGATCCACCCAGCTGCGTGAGTGACAGCGGGCTCTGCCACTCTAGAGGCATCTGTGCCGCTCCTTCCTAGTCCTTTCCTCCAGTCAGCGCTGGAGGATCAGAGAGGGGAGGGCGGAATCCCTGTGGGGAGCGGTGACTGACAGTCACCACTCTCTGCAGGAAAATGATGGGGAAGTGAGCGAGCGACGGTATGTGTTTGTTCACTTTCCTGATCAGTAGAGCCGACCTGTGACAGCTTCATTGTCACACGTCGGCTCTAACTCTGAGGTTGAGTGTAAATCTCTCAGCTCATAGTTCTCCTTTACCTAAACGCAGTGTACATTCCTGAATTTGACTTGGTATCGGCCTCTTGCAGTCCTTGTAGAGCAGCATTCAGAATGGGAAAGGGAGATGCAGCACAGTGAACCAATCAGTTGTGTTGCAGTGCTCATGTGCTGATAG